ATTACCTGAAGAGATAATTTTTCTTAGATTTAGACGTTCATAAATTATTTTTACTTTCTTTCTTCCAAAATTTACTTTACCACTTCTCGTATCGAATTTGTATTATTTTTCTTAAATTTTACCACTTAGATTTTCTGGAGTTATGCTAAATAGCTAATTTACAAAATAAAAATCTAAGGGTTCTCCAGGGTTTTCGAAATTTGTTTGCAGTCGTCGAAATTTTCTATTTGTATTTGTGTTTGTATTTACGTAATTTTGGCAAAAACTCAATTTCCCAATTTTCGATGTTTTCTCGATCACCTTCTCCTCCAGAAGTTATTTTCGGGTGGATTTCTTCGAATATTCCTAGCATATTTCCAAAATCTCCAATATAAAATTTGGCAGTTTTTAGAATTTTAAAAATTGGACTCAAAAAACAGGAACTTTTTCAAATTTTGCTCCGAGGTCATAAACGATCTAAATTTTTCGAGTGAGCACGTGGAAATGTATATCCCAGAATTTTTTGTGAATTTTTGGTAAACCTTTTTTAGATTTTCGCAAATTACTTGAAGAGATATTTTTTTCTTAGATTTAGACGTACATAAATTATTTTTGCTTTTTTTCTTCCAAAATTTACTTTACCACTTCTCGTATCGAATTTGTATTATTTTTCTTAAATTTTACCACTTAGATTTTCTAGAGTTATGCTAAATAGTTAATTTACAAAATAAAAATCTAAGGATTCTGCAGGGTTTCCGAAATTTGTTTGCAGTCGTCGAATTTTTCTATTTGGATTTGTGTTTGTATTTAGGTAATTTTGGCCAAAACTCAATTTCCCAATTTTCGATGTTTTCTCGATCACCTTCTCCTCCAGAAGGTATTTTCGGGTGGATTTCTTCGAATATTCCTAGCAGATTTCCAAAATCTCCAACATAAAATTTGGCAGTTTTTAGAATTTTAAAAATTGGACTCAAAAAACAGGAACTTTTCAAATTTTGCTCCGAGGCCATAAAGGATCGAAATGTTTCGAATGAGCACGTTGAAATCTATATCCCAGAATTTTTTGTGAATTTTTGGTAAACCTTTTTTTAGATTTTCGAAAATTACCTGAAGAGATTTTTTTTTCTTAGATTTAGACGTTCATAAATTATTTTTACTTTTGTTCTTCCAAAATTTACTTTACCACTTCTCGTATCGAATTTGTATTATTTTTCTTAAATTTAACCACTTAGATTTTCTGGAGTTATGCTAAATAGTTAATTTACAAAATAAAAATCTAAGGGTTCTCCAGGGTTTTCGAAATTTGTTTGCAGTCGTCGAAATTTTCTACTTGGATTTGTGTTTGTGTTTAGGTAATTTTGGCCAAAACTCAATTTCTCAATTTTCGATGTTTTCTCGATCACCTTCTCCTCCAGAAGTTATTTTCGGGTGGATTTCTTCGAATATTCCTAGCATATTTCCAAAATCTCCAATATAAAATTTGGCAGTTTTTAGAATTTTAAAAATTGGACTCAAAAAACAGAAACTTTTTCAAATTTTGCTCCGAGGTCATAAACGATCTAAATTTTTCGAGTGAGTACGTGGAAATCTATATCCCAGAATTTTTTGTGAATTTTTGGTAAACCTTTTTTAGATTTTCGAAAATTACCTGAAGAGATTTTTTTTTCTTAGATTTAGACGTTCATAAATTATTTTTACTTTTGTTCTTCCAAAATTTACTTTACCACTTCTCGTATCGAATTTGTATTATTTTTCTTAAATTTTACCACTTAGATTTTCTGGAGTTATGCTAAATAGTTAATTTACAAAATAAAAATCTAAGGGTTCTCCAGGGTTTTCGAAATTTGTTTGCAGTCGTCGAAATTTTCTACTTGGATTTGTGTTTGTGTTTAGGTAATTTTGGCCAAAACTCAATTTCCCAATTTTCGATGTTTTCTCGATCACCTTCTCCTCCAGAAGTTATTTTCGGGTGGATTTCTTCGAATATTCCTAGCATATTTCCAAAATCTCCAATATAAAATTTGGCAGTTTTTAGAATTTTAAAAATTGGACTCAAAAAACAGAAACTTTTTCAAATTTTGCTCCGAGGTCATAAACGATCTAAATTTTTCGAGTGAGTACGTGGAAATCTATATCCCAGAATTTTTTCTGAATTTTTGGTAAACCTTTTTTAGATTTTCGAAAATTACCTGAAGAGATTTTTTTTCTTAGATTTAGACGTTCATAAATTATTTTTACTTTTTTTCTTCCAAAATTTACTTTACCACTTCTCGTATCGAATTTGTATTATTTTTCTTAAATTTTACCACTTAGATTTTCTGGAGTTATGCTAAATAGTTAAATTACAAAATAAAAATCTAAGGGTTCTACAGGGTTTTCTAAATTTGTTTGCAGTCGCCGAAATTTTCTATTTGGATTTGTGTTTTTATTTAGGTAATTTTGGCCAAAACTCATTTTCCCAATTTTCGATGTTTTCTCGATCACCTTCTCCTCCAGAAGGTATTTTCGGGTGGATTTCTTCGAATATTCTTAGCAGATTTCCAAAATCTCCAACATAAAATTTGGCAGTTTTTAGAATTTTAAAAATTGGACTCAAAAAAGAGGAACTTTTTCAAATTTTGCTCCAAGGCCATAAAGGATCGAAATGTTTCGAATGAGCACGTGGAAATCTATATCCCAGAATTTTTTGTGAATTTTTGGTAAACCTTTTTTTAGATTTTCGAAAATTACCTGAAGAGATTTTTTTTTCTTAGATTTAGACGTTCATAAATTATTTTTACTTTTGTTCTTCCAAAATTTACTTTACCACTTCTCGTATCGAATTTGTATTATTTTTCTTAAATTTTACCACTTAGATTTTCTGGAGTTATGCTAAATAGTTAATTTACAAAATAAAAATCTAAGGGTTCTCCAGGGTTTTCGAAATTTGTTTGCAGTCGTCGAAATTTTCTACTTGGATTTGTGTTTGTGTTTAGGTAATTTTGGCCAAAACTCAATTTCCCAATTTTCGATGTTTTCTCGATCACCTTCTCCTCCAGAAGTTATTTTCGGGTGGATTTCTTCGAATATTCCTAGCATATTTCCAAAATCTCCAATATAAAATTTGGCAGTTTTTAGAATTTTAAAAGTTCGACTCAAAAAACACGAACTTTTTGAAATTTTGCTCCGAGGTCATAAACGATCTAAATTTTTCGAGTGAGTACGTGGAAATCTATATCCCAGAATTTTTTGTGAATTTTTAGTAAACCTTTTTTAGATTTTCGAATATTTTTGTTTTGGAAGAGTTTTGTTCTCTATGATTTTACTAAATAAAATAAAATAAAATTCGGGGGGAATTAAAATAACATTAGATACACGTTGACCTATTAAAATAAAATCATATGTATCCAGTGTTATTTTAATTGTCCCCTGAAGATGTTCATTAAGCGAAACTAGAAAAAATTATCAAATTTAACTTTGAGATTGTCGCTTCCTTCATTATTTTTTTTTAATCACCTGGTGTAAGCAATTAAAAAAATATGAATGCACAAGTATAGACTCTTAATATTGTGCATATTTTAAGATTTATTAAGTAAAATTTTTTTAGGACGGGATAAATGGATAAATTTTGATTAACCTAAAATGTTACATCATTCGGTTTTTGTTGTTATACAATTTGGATTTTTTTTCTAATAATCTGCATGTCTAAGATAAAGACAAAGTTCTAAGATGAGGGTCGTAAACGGATAATTTTTTATGAACTATTTACCATGTTTCCGATAACCTTAAAATGTTTGCAAGGTTTCAAAGCGTTCGGCTTTGCAGTTTCAAAGTTATATTGTAAAATGTTACACTAAGTATTTTGACTTTTTTTTTTTACAAAAATCTGGGCACTTAGGGCAAAAACTGAACACGAATTCATATACTACAAGTGGAGGAATATATTTTTTTATAAAATATGGGTAGAGATGATCAAACAAATTTTGATTAGCGTTTTACCATGTATACAATATTTCTAACATATTACACACAAAATTTGACAACAACCGGGCAGTAGTTTAGATTATCTGTCTCGGGAAGTAAAAATAATAATAGTCGTTATTTTCTTGACAATAGTCAAGTCAATAGTTGCTTAATAAAATAAACTGCTTCAATCTCTAATTTTTTTGGGTCACCTGTATACTATAACTTTATTTCCCATAATAGCGAAAAAATTCAAGGTGTATTCATAAACCACAAACACAGAAGTGTGTTCTTTAAAATTCAAGTGGCACTTACTGTGCAATATTTTGAGATAACGTCATCAAATTGTTGGTGGGGACTACAGACGATAGACGGAAACATGAAAGCTATTATTTAGTCGGGTGGACCCTCCTACAATACTTACCTAGGTTACTATCAGGAAGTAAAAAGTAAACAACAAAGAGTCTGAATTATTTAGATAGCAGGCTTGACTTGCGGCATTTGTATGCTTATTAGCTTTAGAGACGAGAAAAATTCCCGTCATCCGAAACTCGGTAGTATCAAGGGACATCAGAAAAAAACAGGGTTAGTTGCTGTAGCAATCTTAACAAAATTATAAAAAAGTTGCCGCAGGTTCGGATTTCAGCTAGAATTTTCATAAATTTTTTAGTTGTGTATTTTTAGAATTCTACAATTTTCGAATAGAAATTGATTCAGTTACTAGGAACTTAAACGTGGTTTCTAAATATAGTCATTGTATTGAATTTAATATTGGATCTCTCGATACGAATTTGCGTTGAAAAGGCCGTCTAAACTTGACTTTACACTACGATGTCGCAGAATTTTGCGCCATGTGAAAAGAGCAAACAAATTACACAAAGAGATAAAAAACATCGCGCGAAAAAATGAACGCTGCGCTAAACAGTTTACACAACAAAAACACTAATTAAAAATTCATGCTAGGTGCCACATTTAATTGATTTTCCCCGTAAAGTAACGCCGCTTACGTTTTATAAATTATATATTAGGACGCGACCGTAGCGTTTCTGTTATTAATTTAGGCCGTTGTGTTACCACAGGCAAACTAAAAAAGAAAACCAACGACGTCATCGGAGAACTGGAAAATATCGCCGACGGTGAGTAATCAATTGCTTTCGAAAATTATTCATATTGCAATGAATATTTCGTGGATCTTACGAACCCGCTTATGGTCCCCTAAGTATACAGAGTACGAGGATGACCATAAATAATAAATCGACCCCAACCCGCAGACCGACGCTTTCCACGTTATGTTGCACCGCAAAGGCACACATTTTTAACCGACACAAAACCCGGAAAAATTTTACTCATAAAGATACTACGTCTTCGATTCGGCCGATCGTACTTCCAAGGTGTACGTTCCGGGTTTGGAGCGTGACACTGGAAGAGCTCGTTTTCAGCGACTAAGAAATAATTAAACGTGTAAGGAAACTCCAGCTCTTCTAGTTAAATTTTTATTAGGGGAGGATGAGCTTTCGGCTTTGATCGCATAAAATGAAAAATACAAACACCGCGGACAGTTTTACACGATCGTTGTGTTGCATGGAACGCCGCACCAGATTTTTAAATTGTGTTATTTAGTTCACTTCGCACTTCCTCACGAGACATCTTTCATAAATATTATGTTCCACAGCATGCAAAATAATCACGGATTTCGGTGTAGTGAGTAGTATTTGGACAAGCGTGTAGTTTTATAATGCTGCAAAAATTCAGACTACTTAAAGATATTTTTGATACATTTCGAATTCTAGAATCTATTCTCGGTTAACAAAACTTTAGTTTGACACCGAATATTTAGAAAATCTTGCCATCATGAAGCTATTTTTTAAACTAACTAGTCCAAATCTAGATTCCACAATTTTTCCAAAAGTTAAATTTTTCAAAATTTCCCCCCTTCGGAAAATTTGGACACTTTTTTGATCATCATCGAAAATTACCTAGAGTTTATTCGCTATTTTCGATAGGCAGAAGTTAATTTTGGCCTCATTCCTTACAATTTTTCCAGAATCGGCCAATGAAAAAGGGCAATTTTTGGCTTGAAATTCTTTTTTTTTTTTTCAAACCAAATATTTCTATAATTTTACTCGAGACCCTTAACATGCTGTTTTTTCGAATCAATATGTGGAGATCTAATTATTTTTTAATTTTCTCAACTTTCCGAAAGCTAAATTTTTCTAACGAAAATTTAGAGCTTTCTTTGACCACAAAATCGTGAAAATTACTTAATGACTATTATGACATTTTTTTGTAGATTTCAATCTTCAAAGTTAATTTCGGTTTCATGTTTTAAATTCCCACCATATCGTGATTAACAGGATTTAGAAGAAAAAGAACTTCCAAAAATAATATTTCAATAATGTTTCTTTATGAAAATTTGAAACTTTTTTGACCAAGAGATTTTTCTTTGGATTATGATTTTCAGAATTTATTTTCGGTCTCATTTCTTCGAAAACTTCCTTCTAATCTCCCAAAATCGTTCAAAGAATTGTTGCAATATTTTGGATTAAGACAAAATTATTTCAAGTCGAATATTTCTAAAATTTTACTACGGGACCATAAACATGCTATATTTTTCAGAATTTTTTGCTTATTTTGAGGTAATTTTTTCAAAAACCTCTTTCGGTCACCGTGGAAAATTAGTTAGATATTTTTTTATAGATCTAATAGCTATTTTCAATTTCATTTCTTTGAAAATTCCTATCACTTCTGCTGGAATACAAAATCGAAATATGGTAATTTTTAAGATTAAAAAACTATATTTTGAAAACGAAAAGTACGGAAATCTTGCTTTGGAATCATTACAAAGTTATAGTTTTCGAATTGGCTAGTCAAAATCTAGGTTCCAGAATTTTTTTTTGCACTTTTAATTTTTTTTTAATTTCGATCTCATTTCTTTGATAACATCCGACCGTTTTTTAAAATTACTCAAAGAATTATTACAATATTTTAGATGAAAACAAGCCCAATGTCTCCAACATCTTACTCCGGAATCGTAAACACGTCAGATATTTCTATATTTGAAGCTTGGGAAATTTTTGACTCTTTTTGAGCTTTAGATTGATTATTTTTATAAATTTCCTACCATTTTTGCCAGAATCGTGAAATAAAATAATACAATTTTTAAGAGTTCAAAAAAAATTCAAAATATTTTGAAAATTTTGCTTATGAAAAAGCTACATTTTCTTAATTAAATATAATTAAAATCTAAATCTCAGAATTTTTTGTGGATTTTAAGCAATTTTTCAAAAAGCGCATTTTCTCAGTATGAATATTTCAAAGTTTTGTTGATCTGCTTTGAAAATTACTAAGAGAGATTTTTCTGTATTTTACGAATTCCGTAATTTATCTTTGGTCTTATTTTTTCGAAAATTCCTACCACTTTCCCAGAATCGCTCAGAGAATAATTGCAATATTTAGGGTTTAACAAATCGAATTTCTAAAATCTCACCCCAGGACGATAAACAGGATCTATATCTCAGAATTTCGTGCTAATTTTTAGGCAAAGTTTAGTTTTTCCACACTCCCCCCCTTTAGAGATTTTCCACCCTTTTTCGACCACCTTTGAAAATTAACTAAAGATAATTTTTAATTGATTCAGAGTTCCTACAATTTTTGCCAGAATTATTTTATAAATGAAATATGAATTTTTTAGAATTTTCTAAATATTTAATTTTGAGACCCAATATTTTCACAATCTTAACCCCAAATCAGCAGCTAATCAAAATCTATATTCCCCAATTTTTATGAATTTTTAAGAAACTTTTCAAAGAGCATCCATTTTCAATATTCTTCTCTAATTTTGAAAATTTTGACCCTTTTCCGACTACCTTTGAAAATTACTTAAACATTTTTTTCGTAGATTACAACCTCCGGAAGCTATTTTCATCTTCACTTCTTACCATTTTCGGCCACCGTGAAAAATTAGGTAGATATATTTTCATAGTTCTAGTAGCTAGTTTCAACTTCATTTCTTCGAACTTCTGCCAGAATAGGAAATCAACAAGCTATATTTTTTTAGTTAGCTAATCAAAATCTATATTCCGAAATTTTTCTGGATTTTTAAGAAACTTTTCAAAAAGTGAAAATTTTCAGTATTCTTCTCTCATTGTGAAAATATTGACTCTGTTCCGACTACCTTTGAAAATTAGTTAAAAATTTTTTTCGTAGATTAAAACCTCCGGAATCTATTTTCAGCTTCATTTCTTCGAAAATTCTTACCATTTTCGGTCACCGTGGAAAATTAGTTAGATATTTTTTCATAGTTCTAGTAGCTAGTTTCAACTTCATTTCTTCGCACTTCTGCCAGAATAGCAAATCAACAAGCTATATTTTTCTAGCTAGCTAATCAAAATCTATATTCCGAAATTTTTTTGGATTTTTAAGAAACTTTTCAAAAAACGCAAATTTTCAATATCCTTCTCTCATTTTGAAAATTTTGACCTTTTTTCGATCACTTTTGAAAATTAGCTAAATATTTTTTTCGTAGATTACAACTTCCGGAAGCTTTTTCGGCTTCATTTCTTTGAAAATTCTTACCATTTTCAGTCACCATGGAAAATTAGTTAGATAAATTTTCATAGATGTAGTAGCTAGTTTTAACTTCATTTCTTCGAACTTTTGCCAGAATAGCAAATCAACAAGCTACATTTTTCTAGTTAGCTAATCAAAATCTATATTCCGAAATTGTTCTGGATTTTTAAGAAACTTCAAAAAAGCGCAAATTTTCAAAATCCTTCTCTCTTTTTGAAGATTTTGACCTTTTTCGACTACCTCTGTAAATTAGTTAAACATGATTTTCATAGATTGCAAACTCCGGAAGCTATTTTCGGCTTCATTTCTTCGAAAATTCTAACCATTTTCGGTCAGTCTGGAAAATTATTTAGATATTTTTTCATAGACCTCATAGTAGCTAGTTTTAACCTGATTTCTTCGAACTTCTGCCAGAACAGCAAATCAACAAGGTATGTTTTACTAGTTAGCAAATCAAAATCTATATTCCGGATTTTTTCTGGATTTTTAAGAAACTTCAAAAAGCATAAATTTTCAATATCCTTCTCTCTTTTTGAAGATTTTGACCTTTCTTGACTACCTCTGTAAATTAGCTAAAAATGTTTTTCGTAGATTACAACCTCCGGAAACTATTTTCGTCTTCATTTCTTCGAAAATTCTTGCCATTTTCGGCCACTGTGGAAAATTAGTTAGATATTCTTTTCATAGATCTAGTAGCTAGTTTCAACTTCATTCCTTCGACTTCTGTCAGAATTGCAAATCAACAAGCTATATTGTTCTAGTTAGCTAATCAAAATCTATGTTCCGCAATTTTTGTGGATTTTTAAAAACTTTTCAAAAATCGCAAATTTTCAGTATTCTTCTCTCATTTTGAAAATTTTGACCTTTTTTCGACTACCTTTGGAAATTAGCTAAATATTTTTTTCGCAGATTACAACCTCTGGAAGCTATTTTCGGCTTCACTTCTTCGAAAATTCTTACCATTTTCGGTCACCGTGGAAAATTAGTTAGATATTTTTTTCATAGATCTAGTAACTAGTTTCAACTTCATTTTTTCGAACTTCTGCCATAATAGCAAATCAACAAACTATATTTTTCAAGTTAGCTAATCAAAACCAATATTCCGAAATTTTTCCGGATTTTTAAGAAAATTTTCAAAAAACGCAAATTTTCAATATTCTTCTCTCATTTTGAAAATTTTTACCCTTTTCCGACTACCTTTGAAAATTAGTTAAAAATTTTTTTCGTAGATTACAACCTCCGGAAGCTATTCTCGGCTTCATTTCTGTGAGAATTCTTACCATTTTCGGTCACCATGGAAAATTAGTTAGATATTTTTTCATAGATGCAATAGCTAGTTTTAACTTGATTTCTTCAAACTTCTGCCAGAACAGCAAATCAACAAGCTATGTTTTTCTAGTTAACTAATCAAAATCTATATTCCGCAATTTTTGTGAATTTTAAAAACTTTTCAAAATTCGCAAATTTTCAGTATTCTTCTCTCATTTTGAAAATTGTGACCTTTTTTCGACTACCTTTGAAAATTAGCTAGAGATTTATTTATAATAGTTCTTACCATTTTCCGGAA